AAACCATTGTTGAATTCATATCACCTGTTTTTTTGAAATTCTGTACTGTTTCTAATGTTTTTATTATTTTTTATTCTCTTCAAAATAAAAAAATTCCACCACCTACCAGTATTATTATGCCTGCTTAAGACCAAACCAATGCATAAACATTCACTCAAAGCGTAGCATATGCTGAGTCTCTCAAAAGAAAGAAAGAAGGCTAAGGATGGATATGTTGATCTATTTGATTCATCATTCCACTTTACATACATACATCAAAACATCACATTATAAATGATACAAAATGTATTGGTTACCTTCTGGTTGCTGGCGAAAGTACTTTACACCTATACTGTAATACAGGCTCACAATTGCAGAGGGTTCAGTCCATGGTCAACTGAATGCACGGCAGAAGGGCACGGTGCAGTAAAGCAGTTTGCGTCACTGTGACCAGGAAGTAGAGCAGAGGAGAAGCACTCCAGAGAGGAAGGGACCAGCAACCAGATACAGTCCCTAACGTCACTCCCCATGACCTATCCAGACACACCTGGAAATGTGCTTTGCTCATCTGCACACCACTCAAGCCAAGCCAACTAACAATCAAGCTTACACACCTGAGTTTATACACATATGTATAATTATGATCTACTCATTAAAAAACAAATCATAATAGCGAGCTACAGCAAATTATAATTACAAAACTGAACTCTTTATAAGACGCTTATCTGGCTAAGCAGGAAAACTCCATGCCTGATTTTTTTTGTTTGAAAACTGTCAAGAATAGCAGGTGTGATGAAAAATTATTCCAGGACCTTCCAAGAACTGAAAGCCACCAACACCAAAAGTTTTATATGGACAAGAGGTGAATATGTGCTTTATGTGCTGGTAAAAACAGATACTGAGAAAAGTAATTGATGCAGATAACATGGACCATACAGTCAATTATCAATAGTACCTGTCACAGGATGCAGGAAATAAGGAGAGATAAGGCTGGTGCGGGACTTCTGAGAAAGCTGCCTCTTCTTGGCTAGGCCCACATCACACTGCCCAGTGGAAACTCAGCCCAGGTCGGGTCTTGCTACCAACCATACTGTAGGTTGAAGTCAAGTTGAGTGTTGCAAGGTTCCTGCCAAGCTACTTCCTTGGCTCACAGTTGCTAGAAAATGAACTGGAATCCAATATATGTCTGCTTTATCAATGTTTTCTTTTATGTAGATCATGTTTGTTCCTTGAGGATTTCTTAAGATGAAAACAACCCAGCCTCCTTTTTCATAAAAAAGAGGTTTTATTAGAACAAACAAAAACATGCCATATGCAATCAAAATGAGAGTCTATGCATGCCAAATATTCTATGTGTGCTGATAGTGAAGTCCTGTCTTTCCTCAGAATTCTATTTCAAAATCTAGCCACCCACATATTTCTAAAATGTGGTCTCACCAAAGTCTGTAATCTGCCTCTCTTTCAACTAGACAGCACCAACCATTTGGTCTGGCAACTCTGATGGGAGATGCTGCCACATTCAGTTTGTAAAAGTTCCAAGCCACAATTGCAAGGTTCTGCTCTGGCCCTCTTTGCTTGCACGAAAGAGGGGTTCATAGGCAGTACTGTACACAGCAGGTTCAGCCAGCATCAGAACGGAGGGAGGAAAAGGAGGAGAGGATAAAAGCAGCAAAGTTCATGGGTACAGTTGTTTTTGTTTTCTTTTTTTGGTTTTTTTCTGGTACCAGGAATCAAACTCACAACCTTGTGCTTGCCAGGCAGATGCTGTGCCTCTGAGCTAAATCCCCAGCCCCCACCAGGGAAAGGAAACACCAAGATTAGGAAAATGGTCAGTCAGTCTGGCAGGGAAATGCCGCAGCACATGGCATGTCTCTCTATGTGCAAGACAGTCACGTTTTCTATGCTCAGCTTTGGGTCAGGGTGAGCCAATCAATCATCTGAACACAGGCAGGTGGGATGCAAACGGTTCTTCACTCGTGTGGCTGGTCACAGAATAAGCAAACTCTAGCCTTGTCTAGTTTTAAAAGTAGGAAGAATAAACAGAATAAAAGTCTCAAAATAAAAAGGGGCTGAGGGTGGGGCTCAGTGGTAGAGCAGTTGCTTAGGATGCTTGAGGCTCTAGGTTCAGTCCCCATTATTACCAAAACAGACTGGGAAGATAAGACCATTAACCTTTAGGAGAAAAGTTAAAAATCATCAGAACCTGTTCAATGAATCAAAAGCTGCTTAGCAAGTGTTTCTTGCCGCTCTCGTGAGTGTTTCTAATCACATACAAAGTGGGAGATACATAAGGACAAAAATCAGGGTCTGCAAAATAAAATAAAACCGTGAAATCGGCCCATCATACTAAATAAAATGTATGAGAGAGGCAATTTAGAAGAAAAACATTCTTTGACCAAAAGAAGGAAAACAATTCATCAATTTATAAATAGTATATTGATTCAAAGGGAAGAAGGTCAACTTGGAAGAGAGCAAAAGGAAAACTTGCGGAGGAAAATTAGTGCCTGGGCCCAGAGCTTCAGTCTGCCTGGACCCTGTGGAGGGCACGTCGGGTGCTGATACACACCACCCACTCCACTTGGATTCCTTGCTCCACAAATAGATTTCGCACGGCAATTTGTCTTTCTGTGTGGTTTCCTCAACAGATGGGGAATTGTGTCTCTGGCACAAGTACAATTTTGGCAGCTTTGTTCTTCGCGGAAAGCTGAAAATGGCATCTGGCTTATGCAGCAAGCTATTCTGAACTTGGATAACTCCCATCCATCTGGAGATTTGTGGAGGTTTCAAAAAATGAATGCCACACCCTGGATCATGGCCGCTTGCTAAATTGCTTTGTCCACTCCAGCCCTCCCGGGAGACAGTTGTGCCTTGTCCTATTTTAAATAGCTGAAAAAAGCCAGATTCCTTCAGGGCCTAAAATATTCTGTTTAATGTGCAGCCATTTATATGGCTCATAATAAATACACTTGCCTGAGAAGTCTTATTTAACACATTTACTGTAAACCTATTAGTTTTGCCTTATTTTGTTTTTGCAACCAATCCAGAGTTTGTGCAGAATTAATAAGTATCAGTGAGCCTCGTAAAGATTTTGAATGCAGAATCCTTGTTCATCAAAAAAATTTTAGAGATAATAATTAATCAGTGACAACTCCACATAAATCCAAAGCATAAGGCACTTTTAACTGATGGACTGATTATATTTTGCTGTGTTATTTCAATGGCTTTTGGCATGAGAAGAATTTAAGATTAGCCACCAGTTTGAATACTGGTAAACTGAAGGACAGGAACCCAGTGAGCCGGCATGAGACAAAGAAATGTGTAGGAGAAAGGATACACAGAAAGGAAGGAGGTGTCCAGGTAGCTGATTTAACTTGCATGATGGTAACATTTCCCTGTGGAGCCGCCTCCCTGAACCTGAGATCTATCTAATTCTCTAAGGACTATTTGTAAGGGGCAGGAGACAGCAGAGATGAGGGTTATAGGTATGCACTTCCACTAGATTGATATGGCCCAAGTGGAGAGGACATTCCAAAGTTATTACTTCATCTTAGCACAGTACATTGGATTCTTCTTCACTTATACAAAATTGACTAATAATATTTACTAATTGGCCAGTAATGTATTCTAGCATTTCCTAAGTATTGCCATGTTCCAGGTACTGGGCTAAGTAAGCACTTTTCATGCTTATTCTCACCGAATTGTTGTATCGGTACCATGAGGTAGAGATCATTATTATTCTCATTTTACAGGCAAAAAGAATGGAACCTGTAAGAAATTTGCATAAGGCCCCATACCTAAAAGGTTGCAGAGATTAATACTCACAAGTCAGATATCTTAAGAACCAATACTCTTAACTACTCTGCTACTCTCTGCCTAAGCACTCCTTCCAGTGCACCAAAAGCTGCTATGAAGGTCACATTTTCTACCAAACTAATAAAATGTTTTCTATTTCTTCACCTTGGATAGTGATGTTATTATGCAATAATAGTAGCACTTCTTCAACTCTGCACGAGGCATGTGCTAAGAGGCTCTGTATACTGAACCGTTTATGTATTCACATTGAGGCCAAGAGATAATTACCACTAATGTTCTTGTTTTCCAGAAGAGCAACTGATGTGCACAGACTCCAATTAACTTGTCTAAGGACACGCAGGTAGCTGTTCTTTACTCAGTTATCCAGGGGTGCCCAGGCGAGGCCACGGGTGCAAAGCTTTATTCCAGTTCTTTACGGTCAGTTCAAGGGCACATAACATGTTTTAAGAAAATATGAGAGAAAAATCATTCTCTTTGACTTCTCATCTAGAACTTACCAGAAACCTGGTAAGAACAGACCTTTCATCCTGAATGAGTGTGTTCTCCTCTTTAGGCTCCTAAGAAAATGAACCAGTTTGAAAGCTGCTACTTGAGGCTTAAAAAAAAATTTCTTGGTTTGTTATAAGTTATAGTGATTACTTTCTGCACACTTGATAGAATTAGCCAAGAGGTGCCCCATTTGTTCAATCGGGCTCAAATCAGTGCTCTTTGCTTAATCAACTAAAGAGCTTTAATGCCCTCCCATCAGTCATGGTGGTTCACTATAGCATGATTCTCGGACACCGATGGGCACGTTCCTCTGGTTTGTGTAATCTGAGGAAAGCATCTGAGACTCTCAAAGAGAAAAAGAGTTCAAGTTATTATCCTCTGAAGCACCATGAGACTCCCCACCATTAATGCTGGGCTAACATTGTTTCAGTGACTTCCTACTACACACTCAAACTTTTCTTGATCTTCCAGGATTTTCTTGTTATGGAGACGGTTTCTGGTAAATGGTACATTTAAAAATCTCAATCTATGTAATATTAATTAGTCTAAAAACCAATAATGGCCAAATTGATTTCAAATAGCCAAGAAGTGAACTGGAGAGCAGGGTCAGAAAGGAGAGGCAAAGCTTGGAGCACACAAATCACCATGCGGGTCGGCTAGTCCAAAACTGCATACATAGCAGCACCACTGACCCACGCAGGACTTCAGTAACCATGAGCTCAGGGGCAGAAAAACGAGTGCCCAGGAGAAAGCACACGGTCCCTTTCCATGGCTTTCCTCAGGGCATTTTTAATCTCCTTATTCCTAAAACTGTAGATGATGGGGTTCACCAAGGGGATCACCACAGCGTAGAATACGGATACCACTTTGTCCCGGTTTAGGGAGTAGCTGGAGCTAGGTCGCATGTACGTGAAGAGACCCGAGCCATAGAAGAGGGTCACAGCAGTCAGGTGAGAAGCGCAGGTGCTGAAGGCTTTAGTCCTACCTTTAGCTGAGCTGATCCTCAGGACTGCAGCAACAATGTGCCCGTAAGAGATGAGGACCACAAGGACAGAGAGCACTCCAACCACAACCCCCACACCTGGCTGGTGAAGGTGTCAGAGCAGGACAGAGCCAAGACCGGAGGAAGATCACAGAAGAAGTGGTTGATCGTGTTGGGTCCACAGAAATCGTGGTGATAGACAGAGTATGTTTCAATCACAGAACTAAGGAATCCACCCACGTAGGCACCAGCCACCATCTTTAAACAAAGCGCGTGGGACATGAGGGCCATGTAGAGCAGCGGGCTGCAGATGGCAGCGTAGCGGTCGTAGGCCATGGCTGCCAGGAGAAAGCATTCAGTCAGCCCCATGCCGCAGAAGACGAAGTACTGCGTGGCACAGCCGAGAAAGGAAATGGTTTTCTGCGTAGTGATGAGGTCAGAGAGCATCTTGGGGGCCGTGGAGGACACGTAGCAGGTGTCCAGGAAGGACAAGTTACCGAGGAAGAAGTACATGGGACTGTGTAGGTGGGAGTCCGTCCGGATAAGGACGATGAGGCTCAGGTTCCAGAGGAAGGTCAGGAGGTACATTCCCAGAAATAGCACAAAGAGGAAAGCCTTCATTGGAGGATGATCTGAAAACCCCAGGAGGATGAATTTTGTCACCACCGTGTTGTTCCTCAGCACGGCCATAGGTTTGCTTCCGACCTAAAAGAAACAAGTGCGTGGTCAATTAGATTGTGTTGGCTATTTTAAGAACAGAATCTCCCCAGAAGTTCGGTCAACACCCACCTACAATTCCAGCCACCTTCGAGGCAGCACCTCAGAGAAAGTCACCCTAAAGTGACCTTTTGGCACCTTTTCAAATCTGCATGTTATCTACATTGTTGACTGAAAGAGATCTCTTTAATCCCAGCACTTGAGAGGCTGAGGCAGGAAGACTACTGTGAGTTCAAAGCCAGCCTGGGCTACACAGTGAGTTCAAACGCAGCCTGGACTACACAGAAAGACCCTGTCTCCAAAAGGAAAACAAGAGATCTCTTTAATAGTGTCTGGAGTGACCAGGAGTTGGCAAACGTGCCTTCTGCTCCCTTTCGCCTTGAGAAGGGCTGTTGGAAGCCGCTTCTCACTTCTGAAATGTGAAGTGAGAGGCTTGGATCAGGTCCGTTACAAGCTCCTTTTGGAACTGGATTTGTTATGGATTTTTTAGACTTTCTGAATTAAAGATAGAAATCATATTAAGATAAAAATAATTGGGCACTGTTATGCTTCCTGAATCTTTAATGAAAGAACTTAAGGTAAAGGAAGGAAGGGTAGGGGGCTCTCATTTTTTACATATTTCAACTTGAGGAAAGGAGCCCAGACAACAGCCTGCCAATGCATTCTGCTAAGTTGTGAAGCTGAGAAAAAACTGTATATTATATTTATGTTTATATACATACTTAAGACTAGAAAAATGTTTGTAAGTTTTTATACAAGTCACCTAGAAAGGTAAAATTTTGGCCTAACCCAATCTGTGCCACCAGGGAATAGAAGGGCTATGAAGAGGCCTTTCAAAGTGAACTGAACCTAGGCAAACCATGATGATCAAGAACTAGTTAGAAATGAACATTCTCTAGACAATAAAAGCTAAGGAAGAGAGGGTTTATTGGACACTGAAAGACAATGACTTGCAAAGAACAACTTTGATGTCACTGGGTCAGATCAGATTACTCTGGAAACAGGAGTTAAGCCCATACACAGTTAGCAATTAAGAAAGACAGAGCGGATCCCAAAATACCATCAAAATGAGAAAAGATAAATGGGTGTAAAAAGGCAGAAGTGCCTGGGAGAAGATTCCTTGGTGAGATTAAAATGTCGCTACTTTATCATTTGTGGGGAATTTGATTGGCCATGTATGCTTGTAACCAATGGCAACTATCCAATTGTGTCTTCCGGTCACTCATCATATTAAAAGCTAAAACATTTCAAATCTTCCCAAAGTCTCTGATTAAGCACCAAAATCGGGAAGAGCCAAGACTGCTCACTGACAGCAATATATTTCTATCAAAAAAGGAATAAGATACTTGTGGTGTTTCTTATCTTAATGAAACCTTCCCAACAGAGTGTGCCCCATTCCGAGGCAGGAAGGGAGTCGTGTCTGTTCTGCTCATGAGTGTGTCTGAACACCTGCAATAGTCCCTGGGATGTGGGCTTCCAAGCAATGTTGAATGAACGCTTACCCTTGGAGTTTAGCAAAAATGTCTGGCTGAGGAGATATTACCGAATTTGGCTATTATTACAATAATAAAATATATAATAAGATGTAGTCACTCACAGTATTACTCATGTAATCATGAATAGTTGTTTAGCCTTTACTATGTAACAGGTAGTATTTGAAGGGCTCTATTTAAACAAACACACTGGTTCATCCCTGCAGTCTCCAGACAGATATGAGTTGGAACTGAGTGAAATTTTATAGCTGTTTTTGCTGGACAAACGAGATGGAGGAATGAGCTGGACTTACTTATTTTAGGCTGAACTGTCCTGGGATCTGGTGCCACAGGAGAAACACTACTGTCTGCTCTGCTCCCACAACATCTTTTGCAGACTTCAGTTCGTCTGTCTTTTCTTTTGCTGTATGGCTGGCTCCTGGCTCCATTGACTGTCTTTTATTCACTGTCTCTGGTAAACAGTAACGCCTGCCCTGGAGCCCCTGCCCCTCTGTTACCAAGTCTTCCAAGCGACCTGTGGGGGTTCATTACGGTAATGGGCAGAGGTCGCCACATTCTCCCTTGTAAAGATCTCTCTCCTCTCCTCTCCTCTCCTCTCCTCTCCTCTCCTCTCCTCCCCTTTCTCTCCAGGTTCAATGTAAAAAGCCCAGCAATCATTACAGCTGCACATTTGGGGCTCTGTTTGTTCCCTGGAGTAATAGTGAAAAGGGCAACCACCCCACATCAGAACCATCTTTCCAGTCGCCTCCCTGCCTGGGGACCTCAGAAGGTTGGGATCATTAAATAGAGGTGAAGTAAAGTCTTTGCCCAGTGCCTGATGAACAGAAATCATTCAGTGAATGGAAACTAATAACATTGTTAACTCAGCCTCTTGGGTCAGGACCAAGAAGTGCCTTTCCTCTCCACCTGACTTTTCTTGTGCCTCGTCTTCACGGTGCTGGAAGTGATTCCTTGCCCCTTTAACGTCTAGCTGCCCCTCACAGCGCCGGCACCACCTAGAAACGTCAGTGTGCACAGCGCAGCTAACTCCCCTGGGCCTGGGCAGCTTGAGCTTGCTTCCCGAGGCCCCCGAGCTCCAGAGGTCTGAGCTGTTCAGATTTTGATTTCCTGGATTTTTTTAGTGCTTTTCTTCAGAAATAAAGTTTATCAAAAAGAGTGGGAGAGAGACAGAGAGAGACAGACAGACAGAAAACCTGTTTCATGGAAACCAAGTTAGCAGTTCTTGGTCTGAAAAACAATAAACAAATAACAGCAATATCTTGTGTATAAAGCAATACAATTGCTGGGACCTTTGCTCTAAAGGTAATAGGATTAATTTAGGGACAGAAATTTCCTAACTAGGACCACAGAGAGAAAAAGAGGTCAGTGACTCCCAAAATCAACCATGACCACGAAATGGTGGTGCATCTTTTAATCAACAGAAACATAAAGCGGCCCAGGAGACACTGGGCTGAGAGAGTCAAGCCAACCAACTACGAAAGAATTTTGATACTTGGTTCAATTAAGATCTGGGAAATTTAAGAGTTGATCCATAATTATGCTCTGCCAATAGATTTCATCCATCGTGCCAACTCTGACTACAGTGATAATGACTATATAAAATAAGGTGGAGCGCTTTCAAAGTGTATTTTTAGGAGTGGAAGTATCTTAGGAGTGAAGAACAAACTATAAATTAGCAAAGTCTGCATCAGAGAGGAAAAGGGAGAGTTCAGCGCACAACGGATTTGTCACACTACCCTACAAGAAACTGGAGGATGAGGTAGAAAGTCACCTTATTAAATCTAGCTGGGTAAAACCATAAACTTTCTAAATACATTTACTGCAAAAACTCTAACCTGAAAGCCAAATGTGGTGGTACACACCTATAACACCAGCACTCAAGAGGCCGAGGCAGGAAGACCATGAGTTCATCGGGGCAGTCTGCCCTATATACAGAGTTAAGGGACCACGTGGACTGCAAAGCAAGGCCCTGTCTCAAATCAAAAGAAAAAAAAAGAATTTGATCAAAGTGAACATCAGAAAGTATCAAAGCAGATATATCACACAGCAATGTGAAATACCTACCATTATTTAATGCACCCTAAAAATTTTAAGATGGTGTTACAGTTAATTTTAGGTGTCTATTGGAGTGGCTTAGAGAATATCCACATAGCTGGAAAAGTGTGACTTCTGGGGACACCTGAGGACATCTCTGCGGGAGTCGGTTTGGAATCTGTGAGCTGAGTCAGGACAACCTCTCCTTGTCCGTCTGATGGTCACCATCCAGCTTGAGAGCGCCTGGGTGCAACAGAGAGACAGAGGACGGGCCAATCAGTCTCCTCGGGAGCTGCGACACCCACCTCCTCCCACCGCGTACGTCAGAGCTCAAGGCTCCCACCCTGTGGACCCCGGGCCTCGCACTCGAGGGCCCCGGGTTCCCAGGCTTTCCCTCAGACAGAGTCCACTACCGGCCCCGGGGTCCAGGGCCATTGCACCTGGGCTGAGCTGGACCGCGGCTTTCCTGGTTCTCCGGCCACATCAGCACATAGGCCAGTTCCCTAATCCCTGCTCTCACCCACCAGCACACACGTCCTACTGCTTCTGTCTTTCTAGGGCATGCTGACTAATACATGTACCGAGTTGAATGCTATGTGGTTTTATCACAAGTAAGACAGCAAAGAAACCAGCACAAACACTAAGTAAATTCCATAGAGAATGAAGCGTTTAGAAGTAAAACCGTTTGGACACTGCACTCAAAATTTATCTTGCTGGGATCTGATACACTTTAGAGTCTGCTCTCTGACAGATTCTCCTAGAATAGTATTTGCTTTTTAAGCAGACATCATTTATTCATTTAACATTGGAGCATAGCTGTTTTAATAAATTTATCTGAATTGTTTCTGAAGTAAAACCCAGGAGAAAAACCAGAGGTACTTAGCAGTGAAATATTACCTTGATCTCAACTGGAGTTTGAAAAGTCATCTCAGATTGTATTTCTCCCACTAGCAACTAGTAAAAACTTCAGCTTGATATAGATATAAAGCCTTTTACCAGATGGCCCTAACAAATCCAAGATAAAGCTGCATTTAAAAGTTTTAGGGATCTTTTAAAATATATGCAGAGGAAAAGTACATGGAAATAGGAGCTGAATTTCTATTCCCACTTTGGGAAATCGGGCTATTGATCCCTAAAGGTGTCGATTCATTTACTATGACATTGAAGAGCTAAGGTAAAAAAAGAACCCTCTGAAAACCCAAACAGCTTGATTATATCTAAAATAATTCTGTTAACAAACCTCATCGCCACAAGAGCTGACTAGTTTAGACCCTCGTGGAATGTTGCTGCCACCTATCGGAAGCGAGCCTGCATTGCACAGCCGGGTAAGACCCGACCTCCCAGCGCGAAGACGCCCAAGAGACCCCAGCTGCGTACTAGCGACTGACCAACCTCGCACACACCACGTGCTCCGAGCGCTTACCGGGCGCTCCCCGAGCACCTGAA